ACCATTCCCTCACGGTTTTATTTTTGGGAACTCACGTGCAACTTCCCAGTGGGTCACCCATCATGGGATTGCTCTAGCCCCTTCTCACTTAACTTCGGAGTTCCTACGGAACCCGAAGCCAGTGAGTTCCAAAAGGCCTCGTGCTAGGTAGAAATGAGAATATACATATAAGGATCACTCCCTTGGGCGATGTGAGATGTTACATCTGAAATTTTGAGAATGTCCTAAATTAATTATAGGAAATATGTGGTTTGAGTATAATGACTCTAACTTTAGTTTATAACGAATGTTGTAAAAGTTGTCAAAATCAACTGGAAAACTGTGGGCAACTCACTATTTTTGTGAAAAAATTGAAACTTTTAGCTTTAGGAAATCTTTTGTGTCAGAGTTAAGGAAAATATTGCAAGAATTTTGGACATGATCCAACTGTTTATTATGGCCCAAAACTATTTTTATTAATTTTTAAAGTTGAAAAATAGAAAAATATCTTCAAATTTAGGTTTTAAATCATTAATTTTAAGTGTTTAAATATGAATTATAATAGATTTTGCACGAAAAAATATATTTTGAAGAACATGAATATGATAATTTGTTGTTATGGTAAGAGAAATAAAAGAAAAATTAAAAAAAAATGTAAAAGGAAAAAACAGAAAAGATAGGATCGGTATGAAGCTAGCGACTTTATACCCATTGAGTCGCTACTATATAAATGATGAGTCGCTACCATATAAACGACAAGCTTCCAATATAATCGGTAACTAAGTACCGATCGTATAATTTTTTTTTTCTCTTTTTTCTTTTTCCATTGAACTTTTTTTTTTCTTTCTATGCTACTTTATTTAGATTCAAACACCATTAGATTTAGATTTCCATTGTTGTTTTCGAATGTTTTGACATGGATTATAAGAAAAGTTTCATCAAAAATATATTTTGGAGAACATGAAGATGATACTTTAGTGTTGTGGTATAAGAAAAATGAAATTTAACAAAACAAAATATAAATAAAATTAATAGTTTAGGCGTAGGGAGACACAATCCAAACTCATGCCCTTGGGAAGGCCGAAGGCGCAGTAGAAGCAGTGGACGCCTATGAGGTTTAGGCTTTAGGGGCGTGTGAATAGTACACCCTGAGTTCAAGAGTTTAAAGGCGTATGAATAATAACACCCTAAGTTCAGCGCATTTCAGTGTTCGGTCCAATCTTTTTTTAAGAAGGGGTTACTATGTTAAAAGATACGACTTTAGTGTGAATTCTATCATGGTTGATAGTGGCTTACAAATGCCCCACCCCCAGCAACAATGTTTCATTCGGCCAACCATGGTTGACCGCTGAGATTAAAACTAAACCTTACCCTCTATTGTTAATGACCTATAAATGCCTATCCCGGAACCAATGCTTCGTGTGAGCAACAACAGTCGACTCGTGGGATTAAAACTAAACATACCCCCTACAAATGCCCTACCTCTGGCACCTATGATTCGTACGGCAAACCACGGCTGACACATGGAATTAAAACTAAACCCTACCCCCTATAAATGCTCTACCCCCCACATAATTGGTTTGTACGGGCAACATAGGTTGACCCGTGAGATTAAAACTAAACCCTACCCCATATTGATAATAGCTTATGTATGTTGCACCCCTCGACACCAAAGCTTCGTGCAGGCAACAATAGTTGACCCGTGCGCCCAAGCTCACATCGTTTTATGTGCATTGATACGTCTAGTTTAGTTTGTGCCAGCTTGCCTCTTTTTGCGTGTTAGAAGCCTATCTCATTTTTTGTGCGCCAAGCCCGCCTCGTCCTACTGGCCAAAATTTTTATGCACTGACCCTGCTCGTTTCGCGTGTGCAGAAGCCCGCCTCGATTTGCTCGCATGGAGTAGGCCTCGTTTTATGACCCACATTTTTTGTGCTTCAAGACCACCTCATTTAGCGTGACTTATAGAGCGTACAGTCGCCAGCGTGATAGCAACACCCTTCGAGGTGGATCGGTACCGAAGTACCGATCCTATCGTTCTCTTTTTTTTTTTATGGTTTTTTCTCCTTTTCTCTTTTTCCATTGAATTTTTTTTCTTCCTAAGTTACGTTATTTAGATTCAAATACCTTTAGATTAAGATTTATATCCTTGTTTTTGACATGGATTATAAGAAAATTTTCAACATGGATTACAAGAAAATTTTCACTGAAAATATATTTTGTAGAACCTGAAGATGATAATTTAGTGTTGTGGTATGGGAAAAACAAAATTTTAACAAAAATAATTAAAAAAAACATAAAATAAATGAAATTAATGATTTATGCCCAGGAAGGCACATGTCAAACTCACACCCAAGCCCAAACTCATGAGCGTTTCGACTATTCTGATTTTTACTGGGATTTGATGTTGGCTGCATTGGGTTTGTAGTCGATACCCGTGAACTTTTCTTTTATTGAATGTTTTTCATCAAGATTGCAGCAACGGGTCAGTCCCCGAACTTCTGCAGCAATTCAGAGATAAGTGAGATGCAGAGTCAGCTGTTCCTCGGTGAAATAGTTACATCAGTTAGCAAGATTTGTTACTAGTTGTCATAAGTTGCTATGTCGAAACTGACGCTCTCCATAACTATGTCTAGGAGGTTTCTGATAAAAAGGCACTGGAAGACGAGAATCCAGCATTTCCTTTAAAATTTTCATAACTTTATTCTCTCAACAAAAGCCAACTAAGAAATGACTGCGATGATATTCGACATATTAAGCGTTAACTGTAATGGCAAAAACATTTAAAACTACAAGCAGCTACTACCAGAAACTGAAACAAGGTTTGCTCCTACTGTGGCACTTCGTCTTTCACAGTTCAACACGACAATTTGATCCAAATGCAAGGACAGGGGAGGAGTCTCAAAACTTTCCTTTATAATGTGGAACCACGGGAAGGAAGCTTTGCTCATGAAGCCACACCATTTCGTTCACGATCACAACTTCTGCCTTTGCGGCCCCAAATTGGAGTTGTCTCAATAAGCTGGTGAGGAACAAGCTTTCTTTCGCGCTTAGTCATCTTAATGAAATTCTTAACCTTCAGTTTGGCTATCTCCGCCTCCTCGTCAGGGGTAATCTCCCTTACTACGACCGTAAGGCGGCATTCTGGCCTCACTTTAACTCCACATTTGCCTTTAGCATGGTAGGACAGTCTCTTTTTGAAGAATCCCTTTCCAACAAAAGCCTCAGCTACAGAGAAAATGCGGAATAAAGAAGGTTAAAACTGAAAAACAAAAAAAAAATATAGGAAAAGCTAAACTTTATTTGCAGTATTTACCAACAAGGAGACGGTCTGGATCTAACCCATGATTATGAGTTGCATTTGCTCGGGCTGAATGAATGACCTGCAAATAGTAGTTTCTTCATTAACGTTGACATTCTGGAGTACATTTTTTTCATTTGAGTAAGAAATGAGCATAGCGAAAGCGTTACATGTGAAAACCCAGCCTTTATACTGATACTGAATGATGATAACTAACTCCAGAAGTATTCTTAATAATAAAAAACATGGTAAAGTTCTTGATGCATTCACACCTGCCTTCTCACAATCATAATAATAAAAATAATAAAAAGAAAATCACCTTAAATGCTAATGCTATCCAGTTCTGCTCTCCTGACTTTCACACATGTTTTTTACATAGCATAGTGTGTGTGTGTGTGTGTGTGTGTGTAATATATATATATCGTGAATCTATTCTACTTAAAATGGATTCTAGCTCAACTAGGTGAAGAGTTGCTGTATCACCTGATACACAGTTTTTGAAGCTCGCTTTACTGTCACTTGCAACTGCAACAATGCATCTTCAACACGCATACCGCGTACCAGTGCAGCAACCAAGTTTACCTTTTTAGGACTCTGAGAGTGACAAATTGGTGAGTTAAAATTAATAAACGTAAGTCACTGATAAGAGGGAGAACTTGAAAATAGCATTAAACATACAACTTTTAGAGCAATCATTTATACGACCAGAGATCATCACTTTAAATGTCTAAACTGCAAGAAGATGAACTATTCAAGATACAGTTCCAATAGCAGGGACTATTAGCATCCAAGATGAAGCGCGCACACACACAATTGGCAAAAGGAATAGTACAGAAGAACTCGTTCAACCCCCAACAAGCATAATGTTTTCCTTTCTGAGAACTTGTTTAAAGTGACCAACGCCCTACCACGTCTTCTTTGACTCCTCCATTAGTCATCCATTCGAATGTCAATTTGGTCGTGATGTGCACGTGAATGCTCTAACATTAATTTGATTACTGAGCAGCAACGGAACATCATAATCACAACATAAGCAAATAAACCACATGGCAGAAAATGTGCTTCATGGCTCAATGCTTCAAAAACCAAATCCAATAAAAGCATATAATCCATTGCAAAGCCTTATAGCAATGCAACAACAGCGCAATGTCATTACCTGTTTGATGCCCTTTAAGATAGCTTGAACTTTATCAGGTTTAGTGAGCGATTTCTGCTTGTGCTCTTCGTTTGTCGCAGTATTTGATGCCAAAACAGGAGTCAATGGAGATGGAAGAGGCGCTTCCTCAGCTCTCAACTTTCTCGAACTCGAAATTCCCTGTAAAAACAAAACCCACACAAATATTGACAATGCAGAGATAAACACAACACTGTTAGAAATGAAAACACACACACACACACACACACACACACACACATATATATATATATATATTTGAGAATTACCAAGTGCTGAAAATATTGATGAAGGGGTCTTGAAATGGTTGGAGAAGATGGCTTGCAAAGAGTTTGGAAATAAGGCAAGAGACCTGCAACATTACGGTTCTGATTATTTAACACTTTCCCAAAACACCAAGTGAGAAAATTGGAGAATTCGAATAGGTACTGACCCTCCAAGCGAGAAGAGGAAGAAGAAGAAGAGAAATTGGCTGAAGGGTTGTAACTACATTCAACCCTTTTGCTGATTTTCCGGATTGCTGATTGCAGATGCCTCTGCCAAGCCGCCATGGCTGCCACAGAGAATTGCTTTCCACCTGCAACAATGGAGGAAAATACAGATATTTGTTATTGTTTTTGGGCGTTTGGGGGAGAATCGGAGGTTGGAAAATCTGAAAGTTGAGTTCTTTGTGCGCTTCCACCTACCTCTGCCTCGTTTCAACCGCGACGGACACCGCAAAGTCTCAAAGCGTGAAGAGTCTCAAGGCTCGGTTGCCGCCGCAAACCTAAATAATAGAGTAATAGACCCATTTTTCACTGTAATTTTACGGATAAAAAATTAATTAACCTTTTTGAGACCAAAGGATTTTATTTTATTTTATATTTTTTGCAAATATTTTGTTTTCACAATGCCATTTCTTAATGGAGGGGTAAAAGTTGGATTAAAATTATCGATTCCACCAATAAAATTTCTAACCCGAGTTCAAAATTTTCATAAAGATTAGAATGCATATTGAGACTTTAGAAAATTCGGAGATTTGAATTTTCCAAGCTTATTTCGGAGAATTTTTTAAAGTGTGTCCGGATCCTTACATTATGCTTGGTTGCCCTTGAGTGCGTCTGGAACTACATATTCTATGGATTACATGAAGTGCGTTTGGAATCTTACATCCTATCTTATGTATCATTTCTATCTAATTTCATGAGTACAGTTAGAATGCAGAACTGTACATCATGTAGATTACATGGAATGAGTTGTGCTAGTCATATTATTTTATTACATATATGAAAAACATGATTAAATGCATGTATGCATCAGTAATGAAAAGACGGTTGAATGCCTCTGTGGTCTCAATCGAAATTTGTGAGTGATTTTTATATGTAGAGGATTTAAGAAATGTTTCCTAAATGAGATCAATTGACTTTTAAATCACATATGTCGTATTACTGTTACTTACACGAGCTTCATAACTTATTCGGGTTTAGCTTTGCCCAATGCATATTCTCATAGTGCGCTCGAGAGTATGGTTTGTTTAACCTGTATTGTAATTTTGTTTATGCTGAATATCTTATCTATATTATGTATGAGTCCCAATTGATTCTTTGTATTATTGTAACGCTACTTTTTGCGGCCACGTGCCGATCTTGAGCATATCTCAGAGTAGGGCATAACACAACCTATCCACGTGAGAGACACTGTATTTTTAAACGAAAAGCTAACACAAGTTTAAATTTGTACATCAATTGTTAAAGGGGCTCACCATGAAAATTTAATTGATAACTCTTCCACTACGAGAGTCTTATTTAAATTATGGTGTCACCACAAGGACCAAGAAAAAGTTTTAGCCTAGCAGTCGAATTCTCAGGCAAGTCATGCACTCGGGGGCAAACGATCTGTGTGGAGAGATACAACTAATTAGCCAAGCAATTCCAACAGCAAAATACAATCTTTGCTTTGTCTTTTTACATACGAATACCAGCCGAATTATTTATTAGACACACAATTTATACCCTACGTGATGTACATTTTAATCCATATACAATATTAGATTTATCTACTTGAAGTACATTTATACATTATTTCTGAGCAGGTCATGCGATGACACCCTCTATTAGGACGTTATAAAGTTAAACTTTGATGGTTCTATCTTTTGGACAGAGCTACTACCGTCTTTGTGTTATGGAATTCTGAGGGTTGAGTTATTGGTGCTGGTGCTTTCAACCTAGACAAAGTAACTATTGCAGTGGTTGAGGCTATGGGTTTGAGGGAAGGATTAGGGTTTGCCAAACGTAAAGGATTTCAAAACATTATGGTAAAGGGAGATTCAAAGTTAATCGTCTGTGTGGTTCAAGAAAAATGGGATGTCCCTTGGAACTAAAATTCTATTATCGAGGATATTTGCCGGATTGCCTTAGAGTTCAATCGCATCGAATGAAACCATGTTTTCAGATAAGCAAATTTTGTGGTAGAAGCGTCAGCTTATCTAGGTCTCACTCTTAATAATCTGCATTTCTGGGATCATTGTCTCCCCTTTATAGGGTTTAATGCCTTCAACTTTGATTACTTGGGCATCGGTTGTTGTAGAGGTTTTTCCTTTTAATAAATTTCTTTTCTTGATTAAAAAAAAAATCTCTAAGAAGTGTGTTAACTTTCTGTGTGCAAATATAATTATTAATCAAATAAAAAGTTAGTTAATCTACGTTCTCTTCCGGATGTGCCTTTTTTTTTTGTGTGTGTGTTTCGCTTGTTTGTTGTAGATATATAAATTAACGTTTGTTTTTTTTTTAATAATACTTAGTTGACCTATTTTTTGCTTACATGAACGTAATAAAGGTGCCACGTAAATTAACAGATACAATATGACCAATGAATGAAAGAAATTCTAAGAACTAAATAAAATCTTAACATTGTTAATAAAATGATCTCCTTGACATCAACATGGCGCCCTATGACCAAAGTTACCGAGTTCTTGTAACTTTACAGACTAATTTTACCAATTTTAAGGGACGTTGACCAAACTGTTCTATGCTCATAAAACCATTGGGTAATAGATTTCTATTCAATTTGCCACAATATGAGTTCCGAGTTTAAACTCTCCCAAATATGATGAAAGTGTTTAGATTTGATTTTTTAGATTACTGATTAGAATGGGCCGGCAATTGCACAAGGGAAAGGGGAATTGTCATTAAGACCATCTCCAATCTTTGGGGATAAAGTTTAAAAATTTAAGTTAGAAAATTTTAAGCCATAAGTCAGAAACTGTTTTTCTCCTCAAATTCTTGTGGCTTAAAATTTTAACCTATGATGATTAAATAATGATTTTAGCCTAACTTTTTGTTTTCAGTAACCTTTTTTAAAACAAAATTTATATAGATTATCTTATATATTTTTATGAACATTTTAGTCTAAAGATATTTAAATTCCGATAAGTAATTAAAAATCATACAAATACATAGGTATTTATAAAGTTTTAAGTTAAATTTGATTTAAATAATTGTCTTAAATTATTTTAGACGTTAGATTTAATTTTAGGCCGTCAAATCTTTTTTTTTTACCATTAGATTTGATCTCATTTGATCATAACCGTTAGATTATAAGTAAAAAAAAAACAAAATAAAAGTTTGAAATATGATAATTTGGTGGGTTCAGAATAATTTAAGCTAGACTTAAATCTTGAGGGGAATCTAGGTCATAAATATATTTTCTTAGCCCATGGTCGAAGATGGTTTTTTTTTTTTTTTTGGGGGGGGGGGGCGGGTTGGGGGTGAGAAGGGGGGGGGTGGTTTTAAAGCTTATATTATAAGTTTTGGGGGTGAGAAGGGGGGGTGGTTTTAAAGCTTATATTATAAGTTTTATCATGTGGGTTGGAGTTGGTCTAAAGGGCTTACTACAAACAACCCTAAATCGAAACAAGAATGAATGTTTGATTTTCCTTCCCATTTTTGACTTGTTTACTAACTTTTACGAAACGCAAACCGACCTGTTTCTTGCCAAGATAAATCCAAATAAGACAGTAATAAGGAAACCAAATCCTAATCAATTACAAGTCTTCGAACCAACTCTTATATATACCCTCTCTGTGGTTCTCTAATATCTTCCCGTACGTCCTCTTCTACAGACTACAAGTACAAGCCTACCATCGCAAACTCAATATACTGACTCTATCTTTGCCAGAGATAAGTCTGACATCAGAAGTAGCACTCTTATTCTCACAAAGCAGAAACCTAAACCTAGAAAGATTGAAATCAAGAAAATAGAGAATTCAGGCTCCCTATATGTCACGTTTTCGAGGCGGAAAGTTGGACTTTTCAGGAAGGCCTCCGCGCTCAGTGCTCTGTATGGCGCTGAGGTAGCCGTCATTATCTTCTCGCCGCATGGCAAGACGTATGTCTTCGGCCACCCTTCGGTGGATTCTGTCCTCTCTCGCCTTGAAAGTACAAACACTCCCTTACATGGCCGCCAACAAAATGTGTCTATGCATGCAAGGGTCAAGAATGAGAACGACGTAAAAAGTAGTATAGTCGAGTTCAATTCAGTACAGTCTAGCACGATGTACCAAACGAGACTTGGAATAGTCACGGAGGAGATGGAAGTGGACGAGGTGAATGTTGACATGGGAGGTGGCAGGTTCTGGTGGGACCAGCCAATTCACAATATGAATTTGCAGAAACTGAAGCTGTTCAAGAGTTCATTGGAAGAGTTGAAAGACAAAGTTTGTGCACGTTATGATGATTTGTCAATGCGTGAACTAGCTTTGACGGATTATTTGGGTGTACATTGATTTTTCTTCGTACTTTGTATTTTATTGTCTCATGATTTTTCTGAGTTGTATTTCTTTTTTCATGGAAGAAAGTTTTTGAAACATAGTTGGTTTATTAATTCGTTTTTGTAATGGTTATAAAATTTTGTTAGCTTTAAAATTTGCATGCATGAAATATAAACGCTAATCAGAATATTATGTTGGAAGTTAGAACACGATATAGATAATAACCATATACTATATACATATATTCTTTGGCCTATTGCAGTCAATCACGAATCCATTTGTTAAACAGAATTTTTACAAGATTCAACAAAATAAACACTTCCTACACTGCAACACCTATATTGTACTTTTGATCTTGTAGCACACCGCACACCATCCTTACTATTACTTCCCTTTGATGAACACTATTGATCGCAGATGATCTTCCTCACAAGCAAAGAATATGTGGAGGCATAAATTAACCACATTCAAAAGAGCATATCACATGGATTATGAGATCTAAATATCGAAGTTACCCTAGACAACATAAGCAGACTAAGAGCTTAACCAAGGGCCAACAAGACTCCATTCACAACCATTTGGCCCCACGGCACAAAGCATATGCCAAGTTCTCTATCAGACCACGACCCACAAGGAAACATCATTCGTTCTTGGAGGATTGGTCGTTAACCCCTCAACGGTCTGCCCATCAGACACACAAGCAAGCACGACAAGCGCGGGAGGCTCATTGGAGTCTTAAATAAGGTCAAACACTTTCCTACGTTGTTCCATGTCTAATATTAACTCTTACATGCACAAGCTTAGGATCAAGTCAACGACCTATGAATGCCTATTGCTAAGCATCTCCTAAGGAGACTGCTCCACCCCTCATCCTGCCTAGCCCTAGCCTAGCAGACAGGATACAAAGTTCTCCCACTTTAAATATATATCCAAGTCCTCCAAAGAAATTAGTAATTGCGAATTCAGTTTAGAACTATTTACATACTTTCAGTTTCTCTCAAACACTTACGGAATTAGGGCATCAGATAACTTTTGGCAAACACTCTAGGAATTAGGCATAGATGACTTTTGGCAAACACCACACCAGTGTTAGTTAATTGATTTTTTGGTGTTATATATTTTATACGTTTTTTATTTAAATTTAAATTAGAAAATTCACATGCAAAAATTAAGCTTTGTTTTTGTTCATACAGAACATGCATGATCCCATTTGTCTGAGGTCGTAAATGAGTAAGAATGGGATGAGCATTGACACACACATCAAATATGGAGGTAATACTTTAAAAGTCCAACCATAGTGCATTATTTACCAAGTAATCATTTTGTTGTAAATCCAAATGCAAGTTCACTTTGCAATTACATGAATCTAAGATATTGGAAGAAACTAATACTATCAAGCAGATGGAGGAGTACAAAGCCACATTGGACATGGGAGGCAGCAGATTTTGGTGCGACCTACCAACCAGGCAATCGATTCAGAATATGAAGTTGCATGATGCGAAACATGTTAGAAGTGTCTTAGAAATTTAAGGAGTTCTTTAGAATGGTTGAAGTTTAAAGTTGGTATGCGTTTAGATGATTTCTCTAGGAGCGAATTGGATGTGAGGAATTACTTAGGTCTAAATTGAGATTAAATGTGATTAAATCATGTTTTTCACATAAACACACTGGATTAGTTTATTTTTCGTTAGAGAAGCATTCCCAATCCAAAAGATATTGAATCCTATTCAAAGCGTGATTAAGAGGTTTTGCTGTTGTTATGGTGTTATTATGTATATTCAATGCAAAATTTCGATTACAAACTAAAAGCCAACAACCGTATATTTACCTGTATAATGTAATTGTGTTGATAATGGATAAGTAACAATCATTTTCTACATTTTTAATACTTATTATTCTATTATGTTACATTTTTGAATACTTTTTATTATGTTACCTTTTCTGATTGTATATTATGTTACATTTTCTGATTGTATGTTTTTCCTTTTCATAGAAGCGAGTACTTACGTTATTACTTGATAGCTTCTAAAATTGCATGCGTGAAAATATAGAGATTAGAATTTTACTTGATTCATGACTTGGAATTTTGCTTGATTCATGACTTGAAGCAAAAGCAAGTATAATTGTATAGCAAGGAGCTCTTTCTACAAATATTGCTAGCATTGTTCAATGTGTCCAACTAACGACTTATGAGATACAAAACTATACACTTGTAAAGGTAATCGGAGGAGGAAGAAAGATGGATCACTGTGGACGTAGCTTTCTCATCAACCACTTCTTTCGCAGAGCGGGGTGCAATGCTAAAAACATCCTGGCTCTCTTCTCATCCTCCAAAAGGTCAATGGCATCCAGCAGTAAATCATCGTCAATGTCCGGTATAGCCTTTAAGACATCAATAACTTTCTCTATGGATACAGATGCCTCTTTCTTCAGTTTCTTCTTCAACGGTGACTCTGCAACTGCCATATCCCCTAGAGCTTTGGCTGCAAATCCATCGGTTCTTTGTGGTTTCTTAGACTGTTGTAAGGTTTGTGTGACTTCATGACTCTGTCCTTCCTTTTGATCTGATAAATTCTTGACATCACTTGAACCCAATGCTTTTTTCTGAACATTTTGTTTGTCAACAATAGGTGTAGCATCTCCGTCAATTTTCTTAGCAACGGTTCCCTTGTCAAGAGCTCGATTGCAGCTTGATGGACCATTTTTCAAAAGTCTAGCCTCATTTCCACATATGACATACAAATCGGAATAATATGGCATAGCTTTATTTCTGTACATGTGGAAACTGGGATGTGCCTGCATTTATAAAAAAGTAAGGTACGAGCAATAGAATGTCTCCATTAAATTCCTAATCAATAACAATTCAAATATACCTCTATATATTTGTTCCAAACCGGATCATCAGCTACCACCTTTTGTTGTGTTTCATCCCAAGTAAAACCCTTTTGATCAAGCAGGGCATTAACGCTACTGTAATGTTTCCTGAGGACATTGTACCGATTTTTCAATACAGCCCTACCATGGTGAAACCCAAATTTCTCATTAAAGCATGTGATCATGGTAATCCATGATTTCTTCTTGAAAGTGCAACCAACCTTATTCCCTTTGCACACCTCATCCAACATTAGTCCAATGAAAAATTGGTCCATAATCTGTGACCAGTCAATTTTTTTAGGATCAGCATCAGTGGGATCTTGAAATTCCATTCCTCTTGCTACAAAATTTGAGAAAATTACAAACCATATTTCAATGCATTTGCACATATTTATCAAACAGAAAATTAGCTTTGCCAAATTGACATCAATTAATAACGATTTCCCACACAATATGTACCTTCGTTCTCAAAGTCCACATCATAACATGAAAGACTGTATCTTCCATCAGCAACTGCATGGCCACATATTATGCACAGCTCATTATAATGTGAAATGACTTTTGTTCTGTACGGTTGCATTTCAGGGTGGGCCTGCATAGAACATGTGCAACCTAATAACTCTCGTGCGTGGACAGTAAAGTTTAAAGATTAAACGGTATACCTTGATATAATTATTCCACACATTATCATCAGCTGTTATCATCTGTTGCGTTTCATCCCATCTAAAGTCTCCCTGATCAACAAGACTCTTCATCTCGCTGTACTGCTTCCTCAATCTTTTGTATCGATTTTTCAGAATATCTGTATCATACTTAAACCCAAATTCATTATTAAAGAGAACAATCATATCTGCCCAAGCTTGTTTCCTAAATCCATGACCAGTTTTGTTCCCTTTGCTCACTTGTTCTAGCATAAGGTCAATGAAGAAACTGTCTTGTGATGGAGTCCAGTTAGCCCTTACATGGTCACTGGTGGTAGAAGAACCGGCATACATCCTTAACCTGCAACTTAAGAATTTTGTCAATAGAAAGGATAGCTCATGCGAGTCAAATTGCAATAACCATAGATGTAGTTGAGCCCAATACGCATATTGGCTAGATGAAGACCAGATTTGTAACCGTAGATAAATGTATGCAAAGTATTGTTCAGTTAAACATATCAAGCTGCATTTGCACTATACTACTTTTGTTTCCCTTTCCCTCTAAAATCAAGTAAAAACGACAAAGAAGTTGTATGCCATAGTTGAAGAAGCAAAAACAATTTTCTTCCCAATTGGGAAGAAAATGCAAACTATATAATGAGTCACATTTTTCTTTCTCACACATTTCATCACCATCACCATGTTTACACCGTCCCATTCTCTATTTCCCCCTCCATAGCTACAACCTTCACTATAGCAGAACTGCTACGACTCCACAGCTCCCACCACCATCATCACTTTACCAACTTAGACCGCTAAGACTAATAATGTCACCGCTACCAGTATTGTATGTAATATGTATTGTCACCTATTAGATACTTGTAACATAGCTTCTTATCCTAATCTTCATGGATACACAATTTTCAATCTAGTTCATTCCACAACACCCGTGCCGCCTGGCACCACAACTAAATTTTCAAACTAGCTCTACAATTTCCTTATTACATTGCCCCCCTTCCCCACCAAGACTGCCTTAACATAACCTTGTTCACCATTTTCTTCTGACACTGCCCCTTTTCCTTCCAACTATTCTCATTTTTTTTTCCTTCTTACATGATTCACTTTCAGCCTTACAACTCCAAAGGAAATAGTAAAAAAAAAATTCTTAGGCTGCTAAAATGTTTTAACCATGGCAATTTTAAACTTTAATTCCATGGAATCCTGAAAGAAAAATGATTTCCGCACACTTCTTTTCCCCGTTGCACATCAAAGTTTATTTATGTCCCTCGATTCTCATTAAGTGTGCGCATGGAAAGAAATGGGATGTGTGGAGATCACTTCTGTTCCCGAAAAAACTTTGCGTACCAAATGACACTATTATCCCACTGAAGTTACCAAAATTTTACTCTCTTTTTCACATTATTTTTGTATTGTATTCTTCACATAACCAAGCACCAAAACAAAAAAGCACAACCTTTTCTACTAATTCCTACAATCTCTCAACTGCCAAATGCAACAAGAAATTACAGATAATCGGATCAGTTGAAATTTCTCCGTTTCAATTTCAATGGGATCAAAATTCTGACTTCCCAAATGCGTAATTGCTTCAAAGCTATTCGATGGAAACCCTAATTCTCGGTTTGGTTGCTGAGAAAACGTTTCTGGACGATTTCTCTAAATATTCAGAGAAAATAAAATGCAAATATAAATTATCGATTCGATGACAATATTACATGAATAAATAATATAAATCAGAAATTCGATGAAACAAACAGCGGTGAAGAATAGGAATTGCGAAGTACCCGTTGTGACCGCCGTTTGAGCCAACGAGCCGTGGCTGACAAATGGGGAATAAGGTTGTCCTGGGATAAGAGAGAGAATACTTCTGTTTGGCTTTGGATTTGTTTTCTTTGCATTAGTTTTTTAATTTTTTTACTTTGATATTTCTTCTACTAAAAATGTGGTTTTCACTATTCTAGGAACTCATAGTACTCATAAAGTTATTTTAGCCATCCATTGGGCACAATTACGTGAATCGTCAGGAATCAAATTCAAGACGTGCCGTATAAAATAAAAGCTTGAAATTCTTTTCCAAATACTTGGGGTTTGGGCCAATTTGGTGTTGAACTCGTTATTCACGGATTCTGAATATATGACATTTTATTTATAAGTAGAGATGAATATTACTAGATCATAATACTTACTAAGTGAATCCATTATTTATTATTTATATTCTTATACAAGCAATTTCAGAAGAAGGAAATCGTGAACAGTATAATGCAACATTTTGAATCACAAACAGATGTGTCGTGTCTATTTCATAATCACAAATTAATCATTGGGTATTTCTTATAACTGTACAAGCTAGGTAACAAATATGTCATGAAATACCAAATTTCTCCGTTAAATATTTGCTATAGTTGTACTCGTCGAGTGCATTCACGTTGTACTCCTCAACCAAGCTACAACATTTTGGTTTGCTACAACATTTGCCCTTACCCATTCATCAAATGTTTCCTTAGTCAAGCACTGGTATGCTCTTTGTAGAAATTATTAAAGAGACAGGTCATACAGCCCACTTTTAACAACATCGATATTGTCCTCAACTTGGTAATTTCACCTACACAATCCGTGAGGTGTGGGGTTTTATCACAAAAAGTCTCGGTATTAGTTGGAGTGGGTTTAGGATATTTAAACTCTTCTTTTCCAATAGATACAATCGATGTAGGACATTTTGGACCAATTTGGAATTGTTGTACTTTTTTAATAAATTGCTTGCGTTGTGTTTAAGAATAATTAGTTGCAAAATAAAACAGTTAAGCGTTTTATAAACTATATTTTAAAAGTGTTGTGAGTATGAAAAATAGTGTCTAGAAGGATAAATAATGTCATTGTTTAAAATTAATAAACTCATTACATAAATTAAAAATATTATAATGTCTCAACTTCTTCTATTAAAACAGCTTTTAAAAGCAACCAACATGCTGCTTTTAAAAGCTACTGTCTTGAGATCATTGCTTTTAAAATAAGCAATATATTTTATCTTTATCAAATACCTTTTTACTGCTTAACTTTAAAGTGAAGCAGTTTTTGGTGGAAAAATAAAATGCACTACCAAATTGGCTCTTTAACACGCCCCCTCACGTGTGACCCACTAATTGGGTCACACGTGGAAATGGGAATTCCTACATCAACAACCACGTGGAGCTCACGTGAGACCCAATTAGTGGATTACACGTGCAACCAAGGGGACTAACTCTACACGCGGGGCCAAAGGACTCACCATCATCGCACGGGGCCAAGGAAACCCACCTACGGCTCACTTCCTGGTTCTGATATCATGTAGAAATTATCAAAGAGATGGGCCACACGGCCCACTTTCAACAACATTGATATTGTTTCCAACTTGGTAATTATCATCTGCACAATTCGTCAAGTGTGGGGTTTTACCACAAAATACATCGGTATTAGTGAGAGTGAGTTTATGATATTTAAACTCTTATTTTCTCATTGATATGATCGATGTGAGACATTTCAACATTCTCTGCTATATGGTCCCGAAGCTAAATGATCAAACGGAGGCTCCGGAGCAGGCGACCGCATTAAACTCTGTTTGGTGGGCCGCATTGGATAGGATAAATCTAATTAAATTCAACATGAATTACGTCTATCATTTGATGGAGTTTTAAGTGAATCGCGGATTAAATACATATCTCGGATCCATGTCTACAATAGAGATTTTGGAACCCAACTTTAGGTTTCGAAGCCAGCCCAAGCCAATATCAAGCCCGATCCAAGCCAATCCAAGCCAATCCAAGCAAACCTACCAAACATGGGATATGAGTCTGTTTGGATATGAGTATTAAGGATTCATTCGAAATGGAAGATGTGGAAGCATGAGAATTGAATATAAACATTTCATATCGTTTGTTTCAATTAATTTAAAGTTTACTTGAGATCCTTATATTACACTTCATGCATTATTGTTTGTTACATTTGAGGGAATCGCATCGTAGGCCTATCATAATTTTATCTCATTAACCCTCCCTAAACTTTTACATTAAACACTGAAATTTGAATTTTAAATCCAAAAATACCAATAGGAGCAACCAATGATCCAGACAAAGCCGCTACCTAATGTCACGGTCTAGTAATATTCATTGTCACTTGTAAATAAGATGTCTTAAGATAAATTTCTGCCAAAAAACGAGTTTGAAACACATTATTATAGATAATCTAATATGATACATAACTCAATCTCTAATCTCTTAATGTGAAGATAATATTGTTTATTCAACAAACAAAATTATCCTGTGATTCCATTCATACGTTCAACATCCAAATTTTATGCTCTTATCCAAAACTATTTGTTTCGTGTTTTTTTAATTGTGAGTGAGAAAGTGAAATCGATATATTTTACTCACCTACTTAAACAACATTCTTTTGTTTTTATGTGGACCAGGAAACATTCCCACGCAAGTTGCGAACCTTAGATCTGACGTTCAATGCTTTATTAGGTAAGAACATCAACTACAATCAGCGGTGGATCCAAAATTTTAGTATCGGGTAGTCCTAATTTTATAGTAAAAAAAATAATAAATAAATAAATAAAAAGACCAAAATAACATTAAAAAAAATAAATGACAAAGTCATTACTATTTATATGTCTACCAAAATAAAAATGAGTACAACTACATATGTATAACTCTCATCATGAATGCAAGACCATCAAAACTTTTACGATTAATACATAAATAAACATAGTGTTGAACACTTGAGTGACAAGTCCTTACAACATGCACTAATAAATAAACCAGCCTCCCCAAGAAAAACTTGCATAACTAAACCCTAATTAGGGTTTTGGGATCAAAAGAAGAATGGAAGACGTTTGCAAACCTAGAGGCTAAACCCTAATGCCAAGGGATAAAGAGGAGGGTAAGTTCAAAGGTCTTCTACTGGTTGGAAGAGTTGAGGAATCCCAAAGTATCTTTGCTAGCGAATGAGGATCTTCGCTGGATCCTTTTTTTAGGATTCCGAGAATCTTTCAATTACATATGTTCATCGTACATGGTGCGACCAGTTTTCGTCAGATACTGTTTATATTCAATTTTAAATAAAAAAAATTACAATAATTTCTAACCGCACGATTTGCAATAAATAGATATGATTAAAAAATCTTTAGAATCCTCACAAAAAGAATCCGGCGAGATTCCTCGCTTCTTGCCAACAACCAAATGGCAAAGGTGCATAGCAAAAGGCAAAATGCCAAAGGTTAAACGAAATGTTTACTCGAATGAGATTGTGACCCGCTTAATTTACTCTCTCCTTTTTATTAAAATCTCTAAATTGTTTTTACTTGGGAATTGATTAAAAACCCATCACGTGGAGTCTAAAGGATGTCCAATCACAATGAGAAGAGCAGTCGGCAGTGCTTTTAAAACCTTTTTTTATTGGCTTGGCTCAAAATGGTGCGTTTGGCCAAGTCATTTTAAAACAAAGTCCCCTTCTTTCCCCTTCTGCAACAGAAGGAGCAGTGCATCGGCAGCCATGGTTGCTGTTCTCCACCACCACAGCCCAGACTTGGGTGGTCCTTGGTGGTTTCAATAAGCCTTTATCTAAGCTTGCGGGTGGTCCTGGGACCACCCGGTCCCTTAATAGATCCACCTCTGACTACAATTACATATTTCTTCTTCATTATAATTAGGTGTCTTATTATATTATTATTTTTTTTTTATCAATATGAGGTTTATTCTTAACATGTTCTTTCACGTGTTGAAATTTTCAAATCAAACGCACAGACAACGCAAACAAAATGATTTATAGCACGTGTGGTTATTAAACTTCACACGTAAAACAATTTGTTCTAGTACCATCAAAAAGATTAAAGTTCCACCATAATTAAAAATGTTCAATTACTTAATTTTTTTATAAGAACATCTGAACGAAAAATCATTTGAACCAAAATTTATTTAACTATATATGTAGCAATCCTTAATTGTATATATAACAAATAATGTATTCATCATGAACCATTCATTTATTTAAAATATTGAATGACTAAATAATAATAATTAAGAAGTTAAACAAATTTTTTTTTAACAAACGATATTATCCACACTTAGGAAGTGAGGAAGTGTGTTAAGTACTTAAGTCTCACAATGGTTAACAATAATGGAGTTCAAATTCGTTTTTTGCAAGAATCAAACCTAAGACCTTACACTTACAAATAAAGAGAAATATCATTACACTATAGTATTAAACAACATAAGTTAAACAATTTCATGTAAAACTTTTAACATATAAAAGTACGCTATTTCAGAAGAATGAACTCAAGTACTAGCTTAACTAATAGTCAGTCACTTAGTACTACAGTTTAATAATATTCTTTTTCAATTGTAAGTGAGATGTGTTAGGTTTGATTATCGCCAAATGTGAAGTTGAATCACATTAATATTGCAAATCCATTATAAAGTTTAACCCACTATTTCATCATTTTAATATAGATATTATAGTCTATTAAAAAAAAAAAAAAAACAAAACTAGTAGTCAATTCAAAAGCTAGCTAGCTTGCCTAAATGGCCCGGAATCGGAATCCCCTCTGGATCTAAAGGAAATGAGTCCATTAATTAATTAATTTAGACCATTAAAATTTGATACAACGATTATAAACAGAGAATATCTCTAAAAGTTATAATAATTGTAATCATTGAATTAAATTTCAATAATTTGAATTAATTGATTAATGTACTCAGTTCCTTTAAATCCAACGGAAATCCGATCCCTGAATGGCCCGAAT